TCCCCTACAGTCCCTTACCCTCATATCTCTTTTTTCGTCATCTTTCGCGCTACCATCCTGCGATCGATATCTTCTTATTGCTTGCGACGCTGGTTTTTGATTTGCCATCTTTCGCGCTACCATCCTGCGATCGATATCTTCTTATTGCTTGCGACGCTGGTTTTTGATTTGCCATCGTTCGCGTTACCACTCTTCCCGTTCATTGAAGGCCTGCTATTTTTTGCAACGCCATTTTACTATCTGTGTTCTTCGCCGTTTTTCTTCTCTTGTCTCCCGAATTGGCCACATTTATTTCTTTCTTCTCTCTGTCAATCTATTTCTGTCTTTCCCCCTCCTTTCTCTCTCTTCTCTCTGTTTCTCGTAATCATTATGTTTCTGATGAGTCATGCTCTAACAGCTCCTTTCAAAACGTTTTCATTAAGCACCGTTTAACGTTTAAAACTTGTCGCGTATAAAAATAGAGCACATATTAATAATCGTGATACGAAAACTTATTTATTTATGTGGCCTAAATTTACATATCGCACTCACCTCAATATTTATTTCATTCCCCTCATTATCACTCACTGACCGCCTACAAAGGTCACCGGATTGGCGCTTTGGTTAGGCGTTACTAAAGGAACTTCCCTTCTGCGCGAGTCTCGTTATATACTGGTCAACAGGTTTGCCTCTAGAAGGCAGATAGCTCTAGCATTCACTGACCTTCTCAGGATTTTAGCACAAGCAGTTTCCTGCTGATATGAACGGAAGGTGGTACGGACAATTCATCATTTATCAATTTGGCGATCAAGGCCGGAGGGGACGCTTTGTTATATTAGTGTGAATTGTGTTAGTGGCCATGCGTGTTACCGTGGCATGGGTAGCCATCACGGTTCACACTAAACTAGAATTTACCCATTAGATGCTTACCTGTTTCTTATCCTATGCTAGTTTCCTTAATGAACACCGACCTTCCATTGTTTCTTTTCAGTGTTCGTTAGTAAAATTAAACAGGTACAGGTAAGTAAAATAACAACGTAAGAGAAGACGCCCAGTTTACCACTTTATACTTGATTCCCGTACTTGAATGGTCGGCACTCACGAGACAAAAGGAATTGTCGGGTGCTCGACTAGTTCAACATTTGTTCAGCATAAAGACCCAAGTATTCACCATCAACTATTCATCGATCCTCTTGGATCGGTGGGTGGCCTTTAACTTGACGTCTAGGTTTCTTTCAGAACTACGACAGCGATCCACGATAATGGTGTGGAACACCGCTTAGTCACAGTGATCGGATAGTCATCAACGAGAGTATCTGTTGTGCATATCAACCATTGATTTCCCATATCATTCGTCCAATGTTACATGTAGCCTTATCGTTATCATGTTCAAGTTGCATTGCAGAAAACGCGCCTTGACCAACCAACGAGTAGTTCTCATTTTAATACTGGTAAAGTGAGAAACGGTTCTACAATGGATCATTGCGCCATCCACCAATAGGCAAACGCCGAAGCAGTGTCGCTGGCTTTTATCATGTATGTTTCATTTACCATTCAGATTTTCTTACTTCTATGTTATTCCCACTGTTTTCGCAATGCATTTTTTCGGGTGAGAAAAGTCTAATGTGTTCTGCGTTGGTCAGTCTCTTAAGGAGACCTTATGCATCTGACTCTTTTATTGCGTTTGAAATCAGGAAAATTTGCTTGTACCCACAATATGCAACGTGCTCTCGATACGACCGGTGTAAATGAAAACACAAAACAATCAGACGGAAACGATTGCGCTACAGTTTCAGTCACAGTGAAACATTACAGAACTTCGTCAAACTTAGGTAACTAAACTTCAGGGTCAGTGGACCATCATTGGGACACCGCTCGCATCCTCATTCGAACTATTTGCAAGAACGTGAAAGTTCGCATTCCGGTAAAGGATCAAGCGAAAACACTAGAAGTTTGCTGGGATATGTACCGACCATGTTGTAACCAGTACAAGTTAAACGAGCGAGTGATCTACGATTGCAGGACCACTCGAGAGTCACAGAGCTTCTGCATTCGATGATGAGCAAGCCTTCTCCTCGCTGTTCAAGTAGAAGAGAAATTCAAGATCAAATCGACGAATTGATTCGGCAACTTGTGCAAGTTGATAAGCGACCTAAATACATGGACTTATCACCTGCGTCAAACGTAGAAGATGCTGTTCTCCGATACTCACATAATATATGGAAGGATAGGAGTTTCAACCGTGTTTAAAGTTTATGGCTGCGTTCGACTTGACAAGCAAATCTCTGCTGGTCTCGAATCTATGGCAACTGTAATCCTAATTGACGGTGCGACCGGCAAGAGGTTCATGATATCCCATCAAATGTACGCAAATACAGGGCACTGCACTGGAAACATTAAGTTTTGCTTATGGTAAGTATGTTTGTTCACAAAGCAGATTTTCGACATCAAATAGGTTGCTTTTCGTCCTTCACATTAATTCAGGTGAGGGATACCCTTATGGATCACGTGGCTGAAGAATGGCCACTTCTGAAGCATGAAGACAGTGCGCAAATATTCGGAAATCGTGTCACTGAGGAAAGACTACTTCTGAAGCCTGAAGGCATTGCACAAAATGTCAGGGAAAGTATAACCAGTCATGTACTTGCACGAGGGAAATTGTGAAAATCTTTCAGAGTAAACTGAAAAGTGGGACGACAATATGTGCGATGTGGTCACGGTGAGTGCTCTAATCATATAAATCTCTGAAGAGCGTTTCCTTCTTTTTTACTGGCTTCGAAATCTGGACAGGCTGTGTCACCAGCAATCACTTAATCACATACTTTTTCACGCAAATGTGTTGCCCTGATGGAAGGATACCACAGTAAGGCAACTCAAAAACTTCCACCGTTTTCTGCTCAAAAATTTCTCTCATGACATGACAGTTATTAAGCCTATGGAGAACCTGAACCCCAGTGACAAAATGATTTGAAGTATGGAAGATTCGCTGGGAGCGGCAGAAGTAAAACTACTGTTTCCAGTCCATGTAAATACAAGTGAAATTCCACGAAAACTTTGTAAAATGTAATAATAGTGGCAGCCAGTAAAATACTTGTTAGAGTTTTATGCACACGAATATTGTAGAGAAGTGATCTAGAATATTATCAAATCTATAAAACCAAAGCAGATTTTTAAAATCACGAAAATTTTCATGTGAGGTGGAAACCACGCCACACCTAGGCAAAACAAGCCGGTAAATATATTAACCGGCGAGTAAAATTTGTAGATCTGGACCGAAGTTTTCGACGAGCTCCGATGGAGTTATTCGTTGTACTCCAACTATTGCGACATTACAGTAGAAAGGCTGCGAAATGCTTGTGAGCAAGACTTCGAGCCAAAAAAATTAGTCGTGGTGGGTGTGCATTAGAATGTTTGAGAAATAATCTCTGTGTGTTTGATGTCCTACCTGATTACATATGAAATAATTTTGTTAAGGACTAGGAAAGAAATAAATTATTTAAACGAAAACGCGTCGTGGAGATAATGACTGCACCGGCGCAACGCTTTCCGAGCGTGAAACTCATCAGGATGGAAATCTCTGACGAGCTCCGACGGATTTACCCGTCGCACTCTAACTGTTGCGGTACAGCAACAGAGAGGCTACGAAATGCTTGTCACCAAGACACCAACCTCGCAAAATCGATCACAGTACGTTCAGTTTTAAAGCTAAAAAAAGAATCTCCGCTTTACTGTATATCCAGACCGATGAAATATGGAACCATTTTATTAAGGACCAAGAGAAAAACGAAATATATCAGCGACACTGCGTCCTACCCGTCGACCAACTGTGCCCAGCAATGAGCGTAAGGTCGTATTACCATTGGCTTGCTTTTTTTTGAACTGATTTTGGGAATTGAAAGGCGATTAATTTATTTCGGAACTTTTTCGGACTTGTTGTATCATAAATACTAAAGATGAATGCATACATACATGTATACATACATACACACATACATACATACATACATACATACATACATACATACATACATACATACATACATACATACATACATACAATACATAGTTGGTGGGACTGGTTCGGCTTCGAACCACGATCTGCGTCGGTTGAGTCTTCCGCGTAATAATCGCATCGCTAGCACAGCGCTTGACACCTCGTGAATTTTTGTTATGCCTTAAATTTTGATAAAACAGTTACAATGGTGCTATATTAGCACGAAATAAAGAAGTACAGCATGGAGACACTGATCAATCGAAAGCCAAAAACTGTGTGGCACCACGACGTTAGAACACACTTGACTTCAACAAGTTTAGCTTTTCCTACAGTGCTTAACCGTTGCAACATTTCGATGTGTTGCAGAAATTTGGTCCATTAAAATATGTTCTCAGAACCTTATTGTGTTCAAATATATTCATCACTGGGACTTTCCTTGGTGTTCAAAATCCTTTTTTCTCCTGAAAGCAAAAATTCCACACGATCGGGGATTCATAACAAATAATCGCGCTTGAACTGCAAATTTCTTGTTTAATTACCTTCCCTTTGAATGTGAGTGTATACACACCTTTGATTGCTGGCTAAATGACAGCATAGTTGAGAGTCTTAACACACTATTTGCTTCCTATGACAATTTTCCATGGGAGGGTATCATGTGAAATACAACCAAGATGATGCTAAGATATTTTTCAAAACTCTAGCCAGCAGGTGCCTGCGGTGGAGAACGAACGCGCTATTACCCTTTCCGAGGGCTAACGCGTTCACCACCACACCATGCGGATCCTTCGTTTCTCTCATTTAGCTCATTTAGTTCTCTATCTACCCTTGCATCAACAGTCACCTGTCAACGTCATCTTGGTTTTATAGTTGAGAGTATTCATCGAGCAAGTTTTCAGAGAGCAACAACTAGAACTGAAAGGAATCCGAAGCCAGAAATGCAAGGCTTGTTGGCCTGTGGAGAAGTAAGCATCAATGTATCAGATTTTATGGCATAATCTTTACCCCAGACTTTATTTAGGGATTCCATAAAAGATGAGCGCATAAGACAGCTGGAGAACAACGAGAAATTGTATATACGTGCTATACAATTGTATGAACAATCGCAAGAAGGAATGGAATCTGAACTCACAATGTTGCGCAAGGAAGTGGAACAGATGAAGCTTTGTTATGAAATTGAAATAGAATCGGTTAGTGCCGACCCCAGAGCACTAGGTTTCCAAAATATTCTCTAAGGCTATAAAATCTGGACTATTAAATGACGCTTATACGTTGAAAAGTGTTAGTTTTTCAGCAGTTGAAATCTGACAGCACTGAAGAAAAACAGATGACGACTAAGACAACTGGTGAAAAAGGCCTTGGTACCAAAGGCAACGTCGTCGCTTTCCTGGAAAGCAAATCACGTCAAGCCAACGAATAACGCACGCATTAGTGGTTTGTAAGTAACACAAGTGGTCATTTTTTAAGGAGTATTTTACTTTATTGATAAGCTCAACAAAATTGTTATGCACGAATTCTGACAACTTCGTATTCGCTTATCAATAAACCGTCGCAATGACTATCCATATGGAGGTAGGATAGAAATCAGTAATGGAAAAATATTTGGGCAATAGTTGAAAGCTGAATTTAAATCCTGCTTATTGGACACACATCACACAACTGTTTCCATTTTCCAGTTACTCAGCGACGCAGAGAGTGATCAAGTCCACCTCTGACGAGAAATCGAAGAGCTGAGGAGAAACGCCGAACTGGAAAGGGAGGAATATAACGCCTCAAGAGTAGACTTGAGGAAACACCGTGAAAAAATGGTATTATACTATTGCAATGATTACTGGCAAGCTTCTGTTTGTGAAGTGCGCCGCGCCCTAGTACTTGTCTCTTTGTCTGTCGATTTCCAGGAAGCGGAAAATCTTGTAGCATGTGGTGCTGTCGTGGAAAGGAATGCGAGCATTGCGGAAGAAATTCCGGAAAAGACTGAAGAGGTAGTATAAAAAGAAGTTCACAGAAATATAAACACCAGAGTAACTGTTCTTGTGGTCGGATGACGAGTCGTATCACCTATTATTCCGTCAAATCATCGAGTTACTCGAAGGTGACAACACTTGTCACCGTTCGTCCTCGCCTTATGCCAAAATACTCAGTGAAGTGCGACTGGTTCTTGCTCAAGGCACGCAGCTAACCACATTTAAAACTAGGTCCTTCTTTGTTATTGCTTTTTATGATAAAGTGGTCATCGGTAGCTTGCTGTACACTGCTACAGGATAGATGTAGTGTTTTTCTGGTTCATTAACCTAGTTTGCAACATTACTCTATTTAATATTAGCTATATTTCTGCGTGGAAGTGCGGGACTTTTTTCCGTTCTATTTAACAATTATTTAACAGATTCCATTTCGATACCCGGAAACAACATCTAAGAGACAGTGAAAGAATGCAGCTACGTTGACGTGAATTTGTTTGAGAAACAAGACTTGTGTTTGGGCGAACATACACGTGAAATTACTCATTATGGAAGCTGATGTATATCCAAAGCGAAATAAGAAGAAGAACAATCTATTAATCAGGGGACAGGGAAAACTGGTCCAAATCAATGTTGTTTATATCATGTTTCATCTCTCCCACATGATTGGAGGGTTCAGATGATTGGGTTCCTGTCTCTTTCGTTCAAAATTTAAGTGTACATTTTATGTGATATCGTTTGTTAGATCTGCCAAAAGCAATAGAAATGCTCTGGAGAGCCCAAATCGTCACTGATCTTAGTTAAGCCGAAGCTGCGGTGGAAATCACAATGTTTAACTTCTATTTGCTGCCTATTCTTTTTCCATGGCAGGATATGTGGAATACAAACACAATGATACTGAGATATAAGAAAACCTCGCAGCCTCAGCCGGGCTTCGACCCTGAGAAAAAAGAAAGGTTGGTGTGGTGGATAGCACATGACTTTTGAAAAGCGTAGTCGATGGTTCGAAGCCCAGTGGGGTTCTGAGTTTTGCTTCCATCTCAGCATCGTTGTGGTTGTATTCCATGTAACATGAAGAAAATGATAGGAAGTAAATGAAATTTCAACATAGTCTTAACTTTTTCACTGTTTTGAAGAAACTTAATAATTATTCATCTGTGTTACCTGTATTCCCATTGATCGTCGAGTGACTCGATCGGACGCCAGTAAATCTTCCATTTTTCCCTGTCGCGTGCAAGAGCAGCCCAGTGAGTTCTGCTCGCTATAGGGACTCTACGTGCATCATATCTTTTCGTGAAGGCTCGTGAAGGAACTTCTAGGCTTTTCGTGAAGAACTCCTACCACAGAGTCAGTGGTCTTCCTGCAGCACGTTTGACAACTCGAGGAATCCGAGCATTAACGGCTCCTATTCATCGGTTGTCATTCATACGCATTATGTATCCGGCCCACCTTATCTTCGATTGTTTGGTATACAGAACGGCATCTTTGATTCTTGATCGTTGACGCAGATCGGATCTCCGGATCCCATCCCTTACTTGTGTGGAACGGGATACTCCTAACATCGTCCTTTCTACTACGCGTTCGATAACGCTGAGTGACCTTTCACGCTGTTTACGCAGCGACCAGGTTTCTGACGCATACGTTAGAGCAGGAAGTACCGTTGAGTCGAAAAGGTGGGCACGGAGTCGGGTGTTCTTTGTTCTCTTCACTACATCTTCGATGCTCTTGAAAGCTCCCCAAGCCACTCGATTCCTTCTGTTCAGCTCTGGAGCTAAGTCGTTCGTCATATTGATTTTCCGACCTAGACAGACATAACTGGAGCATCCTCATGAACATCGTTTTTGTGAGATTTAGTCAAAGACCAATTTTTCTACAAGATTTATCAAAGTCCGCCATCATTCATTCCGTTTGGGTAATGTTTGTTATTATAAGGACGATGTTATCAGCAAAGTGAATATGGTGTAATTCCCGACCATCGATTTTCATTACCATGTTGTCCCATTCCAATGTTCGTATGGCGTTCTCGAGCGTGGCGGTAAATAATTTTGGCGAGATGGTATCGTCTTGAATAATTCCTCTTCTGACGTCGATGTTAACATCGTTGTAGAATGGTGATATCTTGGTTGTGAAATTTTTGCAGAGCTCACGAAGAACCTTTATGTGCTGAGTAGAGACTCCCTGACTACCAAGGGCTTCCATGAGCAGAAGGTCTTCCTTGAATCTATGAAATGGGACAGGGCGGTCTTCTGTACTCTCGCGATACTTCAACAAGCCTTGTTATCGTGTGGGTGTGGTCCATCGTATTAAATCCTTTTCGAAACCTTCTTGCTCGCCGATATCGTGGAGTTCACCCTTCCTGAACATTTGCACGGTCGTGCTGGTCTTCCATCGAGTAGGGACCATACATTCAGATAGGTAACGTAGGTAACGTGTGAAGAACCGAGCCAGTCGGTTTACGAGAACTGGCGGAAGGTTCTTCAGGTGTTCAGATTTTATTCGGTCTGGACCTGGTGTTGTTCGATTATTAACCGACGAAATAACATGTTCAATTTCGGAAGTGAGAGCCGGAGATACGACATGTCCATCCTCCTTTATTTCATATTTGGGAAGCAGAACATGCCTATGGAGTAGATCTGAGTAGAAACCGTGAATGATTTTCTCAATTGCCCTCCTGGGTGGTGTAACTGCTCCGTCTGCGAGTCAGAATGCAATCATTTTGGTTTTGTAATTGACGAAGCATCGGTGGACTTTGCTAATGCTTCTCCAGGCCTCTGCTGCTTGGACCATAACTGCTTCTTTTCTTTCTTTATGATCCTGTTTTATTGCTCGTCTGCATTGTTTCGCAAGTTGGTACGTGAGTTTTCGATTGCCTGCAACTCGTGCGATTCCGCTCTGGCGTATCAGTTCCAGAGTTTCTAGCGACAGACGTCTCTCGATAACTATCCAGCTCTCAGCCTTCATGGCGCTAAAATGAAGATGTTGAACGAGCCGATCACATTCCTCGTCGCTGTTGTCGAGAACAGCGTCTTCCCAACAGCCCACCAATGAATTATAAGCAAGTCGCAGCTTATGATGGTTTTGGTGGTTCGTTTTTTGAATTTAACTGTCTTTTCTCCTTTCCGCGAGAAATGAAATCTTGCTCGATGGAGGCGATGTTTTTATCCCGTGCAGAATTTTGGAACAGCAGCGACATCGGTAAGGCAAAACCTCCGATTTACTGTGATGTGCTCTTCTTCGTCATAATACTCTCTTCTGGTAGACCTCCACGTCCAGAGTTGAGTGAAGGTCTTCTGGAATTGCGATCCACCATTTTGGACTTGGTGGTTGTGGCAAACTCAGACGGCCGCTCTTTGTTCCGTTCTAATCCGTGGGTCTCAATATAATATGAGGTTATTCGGACGGTTTCTTTGGTCTAATTATAGCAGTAAAATCTCCAATTATGACCTTGGAGAATGACCTTGTTTGTAGAAGTTCTCCAAGTCCATGTAGAACGCCTCGACTTCACTTCCGTCATAATTTGATGTCGCGAGTAAAAGACGAAGATTGTTAAGTTGGTATTGATCCACAAACCGCACACGTTCGTTTCGCGTAGCTAGTTTTTCCAATGAATAGATGTCAATGGGCAAACTAGTGTTGACCGAGACTTCTATCGAGGATTCAGATATAAGCGTGTGTGCATTATAGGCACAGATCGTCACCTTAGTGCTTTGCTATTTAGACAGCTTAGAATGGCCCAGAGATTTCAGCAGCCTCTCCGTAGTCGTCCTATCCAACGCCTCCGAATCGGGAGCTCTTTCGAGGTCAGGGGAATTAGGCTCGTTTATTTTACTGTATTTAACTTTTCGATACTCACCGATAGTTTACTGAGCTCTAACCGTGGAAGCTGGGCATAATCACGGGGGCTTGCCAGTATCTACCAGAGTTGCCGGGTTGCTTATTTGTTGGAGGCGACTCTTGATCACTTCCTATATACTGTGCTGTCACTTGATCGCAACCTTTTAGCCGAAATAACGCGCAGAATACAATCCGCATGAACTAGAACGCACCCACAGAAGTATGCATGAATACGCCTCGTAAATGCAGAAAGTATGTGCTAAACTGACGCAGCAGAAACAGGGTGTCCGTACGCTGGATCCAACCGCTCCTCAGGAAAGCAAAGGTCGCTTTTGGTCCGCGAATAACCACCTATCCGTCACCTGGGGACGTGCCACGTAGCCTCGCGACTAACCGGCTCGAGATCCCTCATATGAGGGAGATCCGTACTTTACATGATTACGCGGATTTCAGTATTTGTGGGCTAGAGCAGAACAACAAGAATCGCTCTTTTCTAACATTGTCCGTCGTTTTAACGGTTCATTATTCGTCGTTAGTTTCACGTTTAACACTCGCTTCAATCCGACAACGGGAAGAAATTCATCAGTCGCTAGAAGCAGAAGGGGTTTATGTCAAAATTATAAATGCA